GAAAGCGAGAAATCACCCCCCAGGGGGGATGGCCACGCCGCAATCCCTTCTCCTCCATTCTCCTCTCAGGATCTTGGACACGCACGCACATGTGCCTGGCGTGAGTTTAAGCCACTGGGTCTAGGACTGGAACTGCGGTTGACTATGTGGGAGTCCAGTGACATAACCATTACGCCAACTGCTGGTCCTTCCCCCCCAAAAAAAATTCTAAAAAAAAAAAAATTTGAAATCAATGTGTAGTTTTTTCATAACACACATTTTCCATGAACTTTTGAAGATTTTTCATGTAATAAATTAAACATATGCACATGTTCATTCTGGTCCCTTTCCTCACTTACTAGATCAATGATAGTATGCATAGACACTTTTTCCCACTTTTTTTTCAATTGAAGTGATACATATCAGAAGTATGTAGAAGTATTCTTTCTTCATTCAGATTTTCATTGTGTTCCATTCTGTGAATGTACCATAGTTTAATCAGTCCCATATTGCTACATATTCGGGTGGTTTTCTAGTGTTTTGCTGTTATAAATCTTGCCTGTACATCTGAACACTATCTGGTCTTGGTTTATATTTTTTTTTTTCTTTCTTTCTTTTTTGGAGAGGTTTTTGCTATAGGGCGCGTGCGCTCGCCAGACAGACAGAGAGAGACAGAGAAACAGAAAGCAAGAAATCAACCCTCAAGGGGGATGGCCATGTCGCAATCCCTTCTCCTCCATTCTCCTCTCGGAATCTTGGGCATGCACGCACACGCGCCTCGCGTGAGTTTAAGCCACCAGGTCCGGGACTCGAACTGTGGTCGGCTACGTGAGAGTCCAGCGACATAGCTATTACGCTAACTGCTGGTCCCGGTTTATATATTTTTATCATATTAAAAAATTATTCATCAATTCCTTTTGTGAATGCTTTAAAAATACTATTTTTGAGACCAACAGTTGGTGTAGTGGTTTAGGTGCTAGACTCCCACATGGCTGACTGTGGTTTGAGTCTCAGACCCACTTGAAAAATCACTTCTGGTGTGAATGTGTGCTTGCTCAAAATCCCGAGAGAAGACTAGAGGAGAAGGGATTGTGGCATGGTCTTCCTCGCTGGAGGGGGTTATGATTTTTCACTTTCCCTCTCACTGTCTCTCTCTGGAGAGTGTATGTATCCTATAACCAAAACTTGAAAAAAATTTTTTAAAAGTTTTAAAAATACAATTTTTGTGAGTTTTTCTTTAGAATAGATGTCTATAAGTGGGATTGCTGGGTCATAAGGAAATAAACATGAAATTTTGTTAATGATTGTCAAATTTCCTCCCATTGGTGGTATACTGTTTTTTACTGCCACCAGCAATGTATAACAATGCCCATTTCTCTGTTTTCTCAGAGTGTGGGTTTTATTATGGTCAACTGGTATTAATTTTTACATTTTGCTATTTTACTAATTTTTTTTAATTAGTGGTATCAGGTTTTGTCATTGATTCTCTTTGGGTTTCCAGATATATTATTATGTCACCTGCAATAGAGATGGTTTGATTGTTCCTATATGGCTAATTATTTTCTTGTCTAATTGCTTTGGCTTATATCTTGGATTAAATGTTAATTAGTAGTACCAATATTAGATATCTTCGCCTTTGTTTCTCACCTGAGAGGGGCTATTTTTAGTGCTTCCCCACTAAGTGAAATGCCAGTGTTGGGACAGAGATTTATTTAGTTTGATCATATTTACCAGAATACATCTCTCTTATGTTGAGACACTGAATTAGTCTGAGTTCTTAAAGTTCAGTGAGACTTTCCTTTCATAGAGGAGAAAAAGAATGCTAGGTTCTCTGGTAAGCTTGTCGGGCTTTTGTTGTTGTTTTTCTATTGCAAGAGAACATGTGCTTGCCAGAGACAGTTAGAGCCTGGTAACACCAGTCTTTTTTCCCTCCATTTTTTTCCAATCCCATCATGATTTTGGACACGCATCACATGTGCCTTGTGTATTTTTCAAGCTGCCAGGGTTGGGACTCAAACTGTGGTTGGCCATGCAGGATCTGGCTCCCTTATCCACTAGGCTATGGGGCTGGTCCAGCATCTGATGTTTTAAATGGGCATGCATCAATGTGTGAATATCCGTGCCAGTTGGGTCTGTGTGTTTCTCTCTTGTTCTGGAACAGAGTGGACTTCGTATGGATGAAGTTATCTGGTTTGTTTCTGATCTTCCTTTTCTGTCTTTCCTGAATATTCAGAGGCAGGTTGAGATTCTCAAAGGTGTCTATACCAAATCTTACCCCACATGTGCTTCTTATAGTGTGAAGAGCACCCCTCCCATGGACAGGAACGGGAGGGCTGTGTGCCCTTCATCCCTGACATGAACCTTGGCAGGGCTTTTTTTTTCCCTTTGGAGAGGTCTTTGCTATAGGGCGCATGTGCGCTCGCCAGAAAGAGAGACAGAAAGTGAGAAATCACCCCCCAGGGGGGATGGCTGTGCTGCAATCTCTTCTCTTCCATTCTCCTCTCAGGATCTTGGGCACGCACGCACACGTGCCCGGCGTGAGTTTAAGCCGCCGGGTCTGCGTCTCAAACCACGGTCGACTACATGGGAATCCAGCGACATAGCCATTACGCCAACTGCTGGTCCCGTGGTAGGGCTTTTGATTGCTCTGACTAGTGGGCTGTGGTGGAAGTCACACTGTGATTTCTGAGGCTGGGTTATGAAAGGATACAACTTCCACCTGTTTCTCTCTGGGCGCTAGCTTTGAGAACCCAGGTGTCATGCTTAAAAGAACCCAGATCAGCCCACATTCAGAGACCGCAGGAACAACTCACATGGAATAGAGCTCAGGTCCCCCAGCTGACAGCCAGCACCAGATAGGAGCCTGAGAGACCTTCCAGGTGATCCCAGGCCCCAGACACTGCGGTGGAGATGGAGACACCCCAACACTGCTGTTTGTTGTCCCGATTTCTGACTATCAAATTCACACACACACAAAATAATTGTTTTTCATCACTGAATTTTTTGGTAATTTATTAAATAGTTATATGAACTAAAACAGCATAGAAAAGCCGTTTATAAATATGTCTAAATAAATATTTCAGTAAAGTTTGTTTTCTTTTGGGGAGGTTGGCTAAGTGACCCTGAATATTTCACTCTATGGTTATAATCAAATCATTTTAGAAAAGTAGACCAGATTCCCTTTCCTTTCACTAGTTATCCTGTAGTGATATATATATATATATATGATATATATGTGTATATGATATATATGTGTATATATATACGTGCACACACGCACACATGCACACACACTTGAGGTTAAGTCATGTCACCTTGCAGTTTGATATGAACCGTAATTAGACTCTAAGGCAGCTCTGACCTCTTTACTGAGTTCCATACCTGTGCTGTGAGCTCCTCTAAACATTTGCACACGCATATCCGGTAGGTAACAACAAACTCCAAGGTCGAAAATCAAACTCATTTTCTCCATCTTTTATCCCTGCTGCGGCAGCAGCGTCGTTGTCCATCAGTACGTTGTCTACTTCCCAGTTTGTGATAGGAAGCCCATGGGGGTCGCTGCCCCTCGTTTTCCAGACTTCCCAGATGCACAGGGCCAGCTGTCGCCGGGTCCTGCGCATCCTCTCCCGTGTTTCCATCTCACCCCACTGCCCCTACCCCGTTCAAACCAACCCCCCGTCTCCCATCCTCAGTAATCTTCTTATTAGCCACTGGGTCTCTTCCTGCATTCTCCCTGCTGAGTTACCAGAATTTTCTTTTCAGAACAAAGCTTCGTCACTCCTTTGGTGAAAGGTTTGGTTTTGTTTACAGGATGAGAGTCCTGGCTGATTTGTATGCTGTTCAGACCTCTTCCCAGCTGACACCTGCTCATTTTCCCTTTCTTTTCATTTTTAATAAACTATTTGTTTAGAGCAGCTTTGTCTTCACAAAAAAAAGGAACAGAAAGTACAGAGCTCCCTTTTACCCCTCCCCCCACTGCACCTCCTCGTTTCCCCCTTACTTACCTCTTGCACCTACATTTATTAGGATTTGTTCATGATGATAATAATGTACTGATATGTTATTATTAACAAAATCTAGGGTTACTCCATGTGTTGTGTATTCTGTGGGTTTTGACATATATTTAGTAACATTTGTCCATCATTACAGTATCATAGAGAATGATTTTATTGTCTTAAGAAAATCTTCTACATGGGCCAGCAGGTGGCATGGAGATTAAGGCACTGGATTCCACATGGCTTGCTTCG